ATCTATAATGCCCAAGTTTCATGGGCACCAAGAAGCACCTCATGTCAAATCCTGGAGCTTCTTCATATCCCTTGTCCTTTCTGACTCCTGTAGGACCCAGCTTTGTTGAACTCCAGTTGTTAAAACTTGCCTCCCCCAGCTCCAGCCAATCAGAATGTACTGTACATTGACTGTGGTTGGCAACATGTTGTTCCTTCTAGTTATAATACCCTTCTCCCTATCTCCCCATGGCCTGATCTCACCTGTATTAGTCTGCTAGAACTGCCATAAACAAATACCATCCATAGTCTGGGGAAGGGGGGCTCACACAACTAATTTCTCACAGTTCTGGAAGCTAGAAGTCTGAGATCAAGGGATCAGCAGGTTTGGTTCACCTGAGGCCTCTCTCCTTGGCTTGCAGACAGCCGAGCACCTTCTCACTGTGTCCTCTCATGGTCTTTCTGCATACACACGCATCCCTGATATCTACTTGTGTGTCCTAAGGACCCCAGTCAGATTGGACTAGGGCCCGCAATAATAAGCCTCAATTTAATCACCTCTGTAAAAGGCCCTACCTCCAAATAAGGTCACCTTCTGAGGCACTGGGGGTTAGGGCTTCAAGATATGAATTTTGGGGAAACACAATTCAGGCCTTGACACCGCTCATCTTGTAAGGCTAAACTCAAATGCTACCTCCTCCCCTTAACTGGCAATCACCACCCCTTCAACATTCTTGTAATTGTTTGTGCCTTTTTTTTATATATAGTTTCTAGCACTATCTGCCCTGTTACAATACGTGGGAATGAAAGGAATCATGGCTGCTATTTACTGAGTTTGATGGCTAGTATGTGCCAGGTATATATTAACTCATGCCTCACTATGTGCTTAGCATATCCTACCATTGACTCTGAATCCTCACCACAGCACTATGAGTTAAGATATTTTTATCCCCATTTTACAGAAGAGGGAATTGAGGCACAGATGGGCTAAGTTATGTATTCAAGGTCACATAGCTAGTATGTTGCACAGCTGATACTCAAACCCAGATATTCCTGGCTTCAGAGTCAATGCTGTCAACACTGCACTCTAGTGCCTTTTCAGTTCAACAGATATCAAGGCCGACTACATGTCAGGCTTGGCTCTTAATGCTGGGGGTACAGGAGCAAACAAATCTGACAGAAAAAAAAAATCTCTCCCTTAATGGAGTGTTGTGGTAATGGTACAGTTCTGTATTTTATTGTGGTGGTAGTTCCACAAAGCTACACATGATAAAACTACAGAGCTACACACACACACCAACGAGTGCATGCCTAACTGGTGTAATCTGAATAAACTCTTCGAATTGTTCTATCGTATATTTCCTAGTTTTGATATTGTACGATAATTATGTAAGGCGTTAATACTGGTGAAGGCTGGGTGAAGGGTGCACAGAACTTCTTTGTATATTTCTTTGTGACTGTTTGTGAATCTATGATTATTTCAAACTAAACAGTTAAAAAAAATTCTGTCCTCATTGAGCTTAATGCCAGTGGGGAATCAGACAATAAACAAATAAGTGTTGTGGCATGTTAGAAGGTGATAAGTGTTATTGAGAAAAACAAAGCCAAGAAGGGGGATACAGAGTGTTCAGCAAGTGGTGTCTCTGAAGTGGCAACATTTGAGCCTTGCCTTTTAGAAGGTGAGGAAATCAGCCATGGGGAAATGGAGTCCCAGACAGAACACCTAGTGCTAAGGCTATGCAAAGTACTGTGTCTGCCGTATTTGAGGAAGAGCAAAGAGATCAGTGTGGCTTCAGCAACGTGAGTTAGGAGGAGAGCAACAGGAGGTTAGATTAGAAAAGTAATGGGGTCCAACCAGGTTGAGCCTTTTAGGCCATTGCAAATACTTTAACTTTTTATTAGGAGAGCGATAGGGAGCCATTGGAGGGTGCTGAGCAGAAGAAGGACATGATCTGATTTAGGTCTTGAAAGGATCACTCTGGCTTTTGTAGGGAAGCCAGGGCAGAAGCAGGGAAACCAGTGAGGAGCCTTAAAATAATCTAGGCGAGAGAGGGTAGAAGTGATGAGAAGTAATCAGATTCTGGAAAAATTTCAAAGGCAAACCGATCAGATTTGCTGACAAATAAAATGTGGAATTTGAGAGAAAGAGTGGAAGGTAAATTTTGGCCTGAGCAATAGGAAGAATGGAGATGCCATTTGCTGACATGGAGAGCACTTTGAGTGATCCAGTTGGGGGCGAAAACGTCAGGAGTTCTATCTGAGACATATTAAGTGTAAGGCATCTATTAGATATACAAGTAGAGATATCAACATGGTGAGAGTTTGAGGAGAGGTCCAGGCTGGAGATAACATTTAGTGTTGTCAACCAAGAGAGGATTTAAAGCCACGATATCGGATGAGATCATCAGAATGAGTGTATACAGAAAAGAGGTCCAAAACTGAACCTCAGGGCTCTCCAATGTTAAAAATGAGATAAGGAAGAATCAGCAAAAGAAACTGAGAAAAGGTTGTGTGAGTCCCAGGCCTGGCTGGTCCCAGATCTGGCTGTGACCCAGGTTTGCATTTAGGAATAAGACCCTAGATTTAGAATGTTACATTAGTGTAGTAGGGTGCCTGCGCCTAAAATATGTAAACATAATTTAGCTTATTGTATTGCACATGAGTGGTTGAATGCCACTATTGTACTCTGATATGTGTGGAGCCACGTGGTCCCCTGGGGAGCAGAAGGGGAGCCAAAGAAAGGGGAGCAGAAGAAGAGCAGAAGCAGAAGCCCGCTCACCACAATAGACTGCACTTCCTGCAACAGAAGTGCGCCCCCCACAATAAAGTCGGTGCCTGCCATTTCATTCTCATGTCAGCCTCTTGTGCATTCTTCCAACTGGGCGTGTCACCACTGAAAACGTCCCTTCTCGATCAGCTGATCAGCTCGGCGCTGCCAGGTGGCATGCGAGGCAGAAAGAAAACCTGGAAGGACAACAAGAAGTGCCCTATAAAAACTAAGAATTTAAAGGATGAACTTTGTAAATTATATAAATGTCTCACCACTATGCTGTACACCTGAAACTAATATAAAATAATATTGAACGTCAACTGTAATTGAAAAATTTGCAAAAGGGGAGGAAGGTAAGGGGGAATAAGAGGTTCAAATTTCCAGATATAATTTTTTAAAAAAGAAATTTAAAGGATGATGTATACAAGCTCTTAACAGTGTCAATCGCATCCTAAATCTGAGGTAATGGTAGCTATGATGAAGATAATAATTTCGTCAATTAAGGGCTTTTTTGCTGCTCCTTTAGCTACCAAAAAGAAAAGACTGTTTCATAAGCAAATGAATGGATAGATGAGAGAGACAGAGAGACAGAGAGACAGAGAGACAGAGACAGAGACAGAGACAGAGACAGAGACAGACAGAAAGACAAACAGAAAGACAGAATGCAGGTTACGAAGCCTGAGGTCTCTCACTTCAATTAAATATAAAATTATCTCGATGAGGGTCTAAATTTAAAAACTGGATGGTGTCAATATAATAAAACTTTTGCTGTTAAAAAATGGTAATTATTCAATTAGGCGCAAACTTCCCATGGCTTCTGTATTCCCTCTCTAAACCTAAGGCATCAGCATCCAGTTGCCCAAGGCAAAAATGTGGGAAAACATCCTGTTAATTTTATGTCACAATAATCTCTCGATTTTATTTCTTCCTTTTCAACACCATGGAGACCACCTTATTTTGGGCCACCATCATTTCTTGCTCAGACTATTTTCAAAGCCTCCTACTTTGTTTGTTCTACCATCTGTCACGATATTCCAATTTAAGCATTTGTAACCATTTTTGTGCCAGGGAACCCTTTGGCAGTCTGATGCAGTTTATAGACTTTTTTTTTTTTTTAAAGAAAGTACATAGGATTACAAAGAAAACCAATTACACTGCAATATAGCTATCAAAATATTTTCTGAAATGGGTGCTATAGCAACACCTGTGCTACTTAACACAGTTCTACTTGTGGGTCTAATAACTACTGTAACTTCAAACAATTGATGAGCATATAAATAATATTTCAAGACGTGTATTGTAGGGGTCCAGAATGAGTCTCCCCAGAATGTGCCATCCTGGCATGCAGATTATTACAAGCTGAAAACAAAGTCTAACAAACTAAAAAAGAGCTTTTTTTTTTTTTAACCTTCCCCTTTACCTGCCTAAAGAAATTCAGATAGAAAAACCTGCTTAAAGAAAGGGAGCTATTAACTTAGCATAATATGATCTAAGTGTGGCAAAGAAGAACACACGAAGCCTGTTTATTAGACTCATTGTTTCTGGGTGGCCAGGGAAGAATTTATTTACCACATTTGCTCTTTCTCATCTACCTGGGAATTGCCTACTTTCCCTTTGAAGGTCTTGGGCCCTTGCCTCCCTCTCCTTAGTTCAGAATGACATATAAGCCTCAACTGCCCAGTGTGTCCTTGGATCTTATATTCTTATGGAACCCCTTGTAGCTACATATATAATAAACTTGGCCATTTTCTCCAGTTAATGTCTCATATTAATTTGATTATTAGTCTAGCCAGAAGAATTTAGAAAGATGGGGTGGGGAATTATTTTTCCACCTCCATGACATCAACTTCAATGTGATATAAAATCTTAGATTTCTATGGATGATAAAACACAGGTACTGCAAATGCCACTTTAGTTTGTTGCCTACATTTGTAAATAAAGAAAGCACTACATTTCAGAGTCTGATGAAAGTGAATTTGTGATTTTTTTTTTTATCCATGTTCACGTACCCTGTGAATTCTATACATGGACCTTTGCAGACCCCAGGTTAAAAAACTATTGGTGCAAAAATGCTAGAGGAGACTGCAAAGACGCATAGTTGTTTGTTTTTAAATAGGGAGAAAAATGGAAATAATAACATCCAAACTGTGTGCCATTAATTCCTGTACATTTTGCCAAATGTGGACTACAAAGTCAGTCTGGGCTTCCTAGCAGCCAAGGAATTGGTTCTGTCCAGAACTTTCTTAGCTTAAAACCTTGATTGGCAACCCACCCTGTCCAGTCCCTGCCCACCTCTCGCCCACCTCTCTTGCTTCCTCCAACACCACTATCCCTTCCTGTCCCATATCACTCAGCCAGGTCAACCCTATAGCTAACCCTTCAACAACACAGGGTGGGGGGGCAGGTGGTAGTCCAACCCCCATGCAGTCAAAAACCTGCCTATAACTTTTGACTCCCCCAAAACTCAGTTGTCCCTTGGTATCTATGTGGGATTGGTTCCAGGACCTCCATACCAAAACCCAAGGATGCTCAAGTCCCTTATGCAAAATGGCATAGAAGAATGGATACAGTCGTACCTCCCCATCCACATCCCAGGATTCCAAATCCTGGATCAAAAATAGTTTTGGTTGCATCCATACATGTGAAACCCCGGGATACACAGGGCCAAAACCGTATTGTTTCAGGGTCAACTGTACTTCCAGCTGTCCAGAAACGCCATTGCGGGGCCTGCTGCACAGCGTGCTCCGGACCAACCACGGGACCCTTGCGCCCGGGACTTGACTTCCGGCCGCCTTCCTTTGGCGCTAGCTCCGCCCACTCTGCTCCCTCTGCCTTCGGAAGAGTTTCTATTTCGGCATTTATCATGGCTTTCGGTCTCACCAACAAAGCAGGTGCCCCTGTCACACTGACCGGCTTCCGAGTAGCCCACTTACAGAAAAAATGCGAAACAAATTCTATCTGGCAAGAATAAGCGGGGTTTCCCACAGCTCCATGGAGCGCGTGCGGGGCGGGACCCGGCAGGAGGCCATTGTAAGCGCATAGCGTCAGTCCCCAAGCCCCGCCTCCGCAGGGGCCTCTAAACACGTCCTTCCGCCCGCTTCCTCTTCTCTTTCTCCGCCATCGTGGTGCGTGCTGTTGAGTCTCACTCGTCATGGTAAGTCCATCCGTAACCATCGGCTCTGGGGTGGCTTCCCGGGGCCTGAGGTCTCTGCCAGCTGACTGACGACCGGGCTGCGTCGAGATGCGGGAGACTTCTTAAGGGCATCTTGAAGAGAAGTTCGAGTTTGGCCACCGCTGCAGTCGGCAGGCCTGGCGGGAAGGTAGCGAGCAATTGAGCACCTGGGAAGGGGCGGGCTGCGCTGCGAGGTCCGAGGCGGGTGCCTTGTGTTTCAGGCTGCCGCCCAGTCAGGCATGGTTCTGCTTTCTTTTACCTTTTTCCCGGAGCAAATTGTGATTCTGGAGCAGTGAGAGAAGTCGGAGGAGGGGCGCCCTAGAAATCATGGCCCGACTGCGGGCTGCCCGCGGCATGTGCTAGGCAGGCATCGAGAACAGAATGTGGGCTGCTTTTCGTCGAGTTTTTAACTTGGCCGCCAGGAGCCTACCACCTTTTGAGCTTCCAGCTCTTTTTAGCCCTTTGTTCAGGGACTGAGTGTCACCTAATGGAAGCACCTGGAACCAGGAGTGCTGTAATTTGAACCTAAAATGCCATTTGGGCGTTCTTAATAAAATGCCAGCTGCGGATAGTCACTGTCTTGGGTTTTTCCTGACGGTTCCCTGAGAAGTTTCAATTGTGGGCTTCTAGGTATGGAGAGGATTAGTCTTTGGTGTTTTATAGGTTTACTAGTTGACAGAAATTTTACTTCATAACTGCTACTGTGAGCTGGGAGAGAAGGGTGTAGTCTCTGTCTTCGTAATGGCCTGTATTGTTATGCAAGGAGTGGGTTGGGCCACACTGGCCAGACTTTAGACCAGTATTCATACTCTTTCTCCGGATTGCCCTGAAAACGGGGGTGGGGTGGGGGATGGGATTGAATGACTTGAGTTTTTCACGAAAGGGAAATCGGGAACGTTGTTCTCGGGAAAGTGGAAAAGAGTTAGAATTAATGTCGAAATGATCAGCGGGTTAGAATAAATGTTACGAACGTAAGGGACTTTGTGCAAATTTGCAATGCCACTTGAAAGTAGGTATCCCTTTTTTACAAAGAAGGGCACTGAGACCCATTGACTTGCAAGTAACACATTGTTTGGTTTACTAAAAGTTGTGTTCTTCCTTGAAAACCAAGTTCCCCGGGTCTAGCCATCCCCGATGTTGTCTGGAAGGCGCCCTAGCATTGGAGTAGAGGTTTTGAATCTCAGGTCTGCACATTAATATCCTTCGGGGCAGGTTACATACGTCCCTGACTACATTTTTTAAATTTATTTTTTATTCGAACAACGGGAATTTCGGTATCTGCTTTCAGAGAAGTCGCAAGGAACAAAGCAGAGAGGGTCGTTTTTGGTGTATATTAAGCATTCGAGCATTGGTTGGATTTGAAGGAGTCCCTGACTTTGAATCTTTTAAGCAGTCTCTGATATTACAGTCTAAATTGATTGCATTTCCTTCCCAGTCTTCTCACAAGACTTTCAGGATCAAGCGGTTCCTGGCCAAGAAACAAAAGCAGAATCGGCCCATTCCCCAATGGATTCGGATGAAAACTGGTAATAAAATCAGGTAAGGACACCGCCTTCCTGTTTTTTGTTTGTTTTTTTAAGATTGCTTTTGGGGCATAAATATATAATGAAAAGTTCTGTACAATCCAATTTATTCTGTACCACCATTCTGAAATTCTTTTTTTTTTTTTTTTTTAATGTGCTTCCTCCGAGTTTCTGGACAGCACCCAGCCTACAGCTGGGCTTAGGGGCAGATACTCCAACATTTGTTAATTTCCTGCTTGTCTTCAGTCTGTGCCAGAACATAAGATGGATGGCTGTCTTATACACATCCCAGCAGGGGAGACCATGTTGTTCACCCAATCCATCTTTGAAGTGTTTATCTTTTTAAAAATTGGAAGATTGCCCTCCAGTGCAGAAGTAGTTGAATTGAAGGTTTTGGAACAAAGACATTACTAGAATTGTTACAAAGGACCTCCGATTCAAGGTCATCTAGGCCAACTCCAGACAAAGCTAGGCCTAAAACTCCTGTTCTTTCATGCCTTTCAGTCCCACTGCTCTCCGGACACTACGTGGGCCTTGAAGGAAAGAAAAATAAGCATCTAGTCAGTGAGATTTGCCCAAGGTCTCACAACCAGTGACAGCTTCCAGTGTGTTGAACAACTTTTTGTTTAAAATGAAGTATTAGATTTCCTGGCTGTCCCGGATAATCGAGCCCAGAAGACCACAGAGGAGGAGAGACCTAATGTTATTACAAACATTCTTATTTTCAAAGCATTTTTAAGCTGACACTAGAGTGAATTCCTCTTGCTAGATGAAGACTTTGAAGCCTTTGAAGCTCAGGAGTACAAAATCATGAAGCTAGTATAGAACTCTGGTTTGATTATATGGCACATCTAAGTGAGATTAATTTGCTGATGTGAAAACTTAAGATATGAATTGTCAGGGCTAAAATTGAGGGCACATTTCCTTAGTTCATTTAGCCAGTTAGGTATGTGGAAATTGTCCCCTACTGTAGCCTTATATGACAGTTGTTGGTCTTTATTATTTATGCATATTAATATATGTAGGAGATGTCTCACTCTTACAGGTGCAACTAGAATTTAAAAGCCCATGGTGTTGCCATCATGCAATACTGAGGAAAGAGCATCGAGTCACTTGTTGGAGTGGTTTGTTTGGCAGTTCAGCCCTTAATACAAGTTCGATGGATTTTTGTTGAGAACATCAGCCCTTTTTTAAATGGATCGACATGTCCTGTCCCCATCTGATGATGGTGTGACCTGCCTTTACAGGTTTTAAGGAATGAAAGAAACATGAAGCTCAGTGCCTAGTTTAATAGAAGGGTACCTGCAGTTAATATTAGCCTCTTTGCTCTGTGGACTCCTGGACCTGGGAAGGTATTTTGTATTTAGTATTACACATACAATTCTGGCCCAGAGAATTGTCACAGCAGAATGGTTTTTCTATTGAGTCAACTGTCTTCCATCTTTTAAATTGAAAGCAGGTTGCAATTACAGTGCTTCATTTTGTGGGATTGCTGCCATTATCCTCTGCTGAAAGAGGCTTGTGTTGATCATTTTTGATTTTGCCTATATGAGGGTAAAATCATTACAGATTGACATGGACAATTCTGAGATGGCCTTAGCTCTACAAATCACTTGCTTTGTATTGAAGTGATTGAGGGTATTAATCTATTATAAAAAGTATGCAGGAGCTTTTATGTATGTGTGACCCATTATGTAGAAATGACTGTTTTTTTTTATGTAGTTCAGAAGGAGGGAGTGAAAATGTATATATATCTGTCTGGTTCTGTCCTAGGGTTGTGGAATCAAAGATGGGTGAGTGTACACTTGGGGAGGAGGGGAGAGAGCTTCTCTGCTACCCCTGTCTCAAGAAGAACCTGTGTGTTTTCCTTGCCTGGAATCATTTTGAGAGGTAAAAATTTGATTTGACTAGTTAAATACATCTAGCAAATCATTTTTTACTCCCCAAAAAGAACTCCAAATTTGTTGAAGGGAAAACAAGACCCTTTGCCTTTCGAGGATTTTATGGTACTTAAAGGCAATGTTTGTGGTGAATGAGAGTAGCTAAATTGAGCTCAGATTGCCTTTGTGACTTGTAATTTCCTTCTGTGTAGGTACAACTCCAAGAGGAGACACTGGAGAAGAACCAAGATGGATCTGTAAGAAATCACACATTAGATGGCACGCATATATCTGCTGTATCCAGGTTGCTTGAACCTCACCAAAGTACTGAGAAGATCACTACTATCTGGACAGTTGGGCATGTTTTATTGAGAAATTATTGGGAAAAAATGATTTTCTTCTTTCTGTAATATGCTTCTGCACTAGTAGGTTGGTTCAGTAATAAATATGTGAAGCTTTTTAAATTGCCGTTGTATTCTGATTTGTGAAGTAAGTATTCAATGATACAAATATTCTCTGGCTACCAGATACTTAGTGAGGAACTGATTTTTAAAATTTTATTTCATTGTAATAGCTCCTTGTGACTAGTGGCTCTTAAACCTTTTGTTATGGAAAGTACATCTATGTCATCCTCATACCTGAAGGTAGCACATTCAAAATAAGTGGTATCTTTATATGCTTTCCTGTGATGCCAGTCCTCAATACAGAGTAGGAACCCCAGGAGTTGACAAACTTATGCTGCATGTTTTTCTTTGGCCTGTGTACTAAATTTCTGCATTTTTAAATGGTTGGAAAAAATCAGAAGTATATTTTGACACTTAATAAGTTAAAATTTACAGGACATTTATGTACCAGGCACTGTTCTAAGTACTTGGGATTAGTCAGTTGGGAGACAAATGTATTGTAAGGCTAATAATGGGCAAGTCATAGCAGATGTCTGGAACAGGTGGGAAGCAACAAGTGCCCAGACAAAGCTAGGCCTAAAACTCTCATCTCCTGCATGCCTTTCAGTCTCACTGCTCTCCAGAGACCACGTGGGCCTTGAAAGAAAGAAAAATGAGCATCCAATCAGCGAGATTTGCCCAAGGTCTCCCAACCAGTGGCAGCCCTCATTACCTGTGGAATTAGAAACTGCAGCCAAGGAAAGGGGAACCAAGTTCGGTGGTAACTCCCTACCCAGTTTATATGGAGCCTGTGCTAGACGTACCTGAGAAGGCAAGTGGCAGGAGATGTTGGGTGCTGTATATAGTGTGTAGGAAGTGGTGCTAGTGGTGGAGTTACACAGCAAAGGGGTCACTACTTACAACACTAGGAGGCTCAGATGGCCACACTCCTTAGGAAGGACCACTCTGCTTACCAGAAGTGTGAAAGAATGAGCTACAAAATAGCAACCAACCCAGGAACCTGGGATCTTTGGAAGGCATTTTAATTTCTACCTGCCCTTAGATGTCAAATATTTACTCTAATTGCATTAGTGTTGCCTCCACATTCAAAGACGGCTGCTACTGTGAACAGTAGTTGGTAAATGTTACCATGCTAAAACTTACTCAAGTCCAAAGCACAGGGATCTGATACAGTTAACTTGCAGTGATACAAAATTAACCATTTTGAGGTGTCAGAAATACGTCTTCTATTTCCCTTTGATTTGATGTTAGACTCTGCCAGTAGGGGGCCGGAGAGTAACAGGTTGGAAGAGGCAGGGATTATTTGGGTGTTTGTTTTCAAGCAGATCAGCAAGCAGTCAGGCATCCTGGCAACATTTTAGCATAGTGGAAGGTTGCTCTCATATTTCAGTGATAAGTACTTCCCAGCCTGTTAGCCACCTCTGGTGGGTAGCACGTTCTTGTAGCCATTCATGTCTGCATCTCAGCTGGGAGAAGGGCTCATTCACTTTTCTCTCAGGTCCAGAGGAAGTAGTTGCTTTCAGCAGATACTATCTCATCATACCTTAGAGTTCTTTTATTCTTTCCAGCAGTTAGCTATTCTTATTTTTTTTATATTAAATTTTCCTTGTTTAAATTACTGGTATGTGGTTTCTCCTAATTGGAACTTGATTCACATGATATATAATGATAGATCTCAGCAGTTTTGAGGTTATATGACACAACAGATTGAATGCAGTAGATAAGAGAATTTAGCTGTCTGCTACTAAGCCAGATAGTAAAGAGATCTACAAGAAATGCAAAACACCACTCTTATCACTGTTTTTATTTTTTGTTATTTACATTTATTGTTTTAAAAGCCAATAAATAAATAAATGCCTTAACCTCATTCAGAGTAGATTGGGACACTCTCACAGGCCCAGGGAGATTGTGAGATGGTCAAGGTCACATTAATGGCAAAGTGAGATTTCTCTACAGACCTCGAATAGGTAAGATTACAATTGAGAGAGAAAGTGACATGGACGTTAGTGTTGTCTGGCTGTGCATAAGGGGTTTCTTTTGAGCCTAGGACTTGAATACAGGTTCTGGTTCCAGTGGCCCCTTGCTAGTTTGTCCAATTAGTAGTTTGCTCATCTGTGAAGGACTATATTCTTTTCTTCCTGAGGGGTAGAATAGGAGCTTAGGATTTATATTTACACACAAGAAGTACAGCATAAAATGTTGGCTTTTGCAAGATATGCAGTCAACCCTGTGGTGTTACTGCCCATCCCTTGACAGCCTGCTGAGAAGCAGGCAGCAGCAGAATGGTAGTCAAGAGATGGCAAGTTGAAATCTTGTTCTTCACCATTCACCAGCTGGATGCCTCAGTGTCATCTGTGCATGGGCCCAGTGGGACCTCTCTCAGAGGGCTGTGAGGATGTAATCTAATGCACTAAAGCACTTCAGTGCCTGACTAGAAAAGGGAGAAGAGGAATGGGGAGCGAGCAAGGTTAAAGTTTTGATGCTGATCTCACCAGCGGACATGTGCTGTATGCTGAGTAAAGCTAAAATGAGATACAGGGGCTGAAAATAGTGGGGAGAAGCAGGTCATCGTTGAAGTCAGGCAGGGATGGTCACTGACAGGCTATTTGAGGCTCCTTTTCTGAAGCTGCTGATGGAGCAGGGTAGGATGAGGCTCTCAGCCTTGACCCTAAATGATACTGTGTTCTCTTTGTCAATTTGAATAATTCGGATTCCAGCAGAGCTGATAATATAGATTTTTGGAGCTGTTTCATAAATACAAAGATGCATATGATAGTAGCAGTGAAGGAAATAATAGAAACACACTGAAAAGCAAACAGCTGCAGAGGGCAGGCCAGTGTCATTTTCTAGAAGAAGCAAATACAAAGGGAAAGTTTAAAAGTTAACACCCCTCTCTGATATTAAACCTCACTACTATCAATACTGAAATTATAGGTTATGTTTTTTAAAGTTCCATTGAATTATAACACAGGAAAGTACACTTATATGTGTATATGTATAAGCTCTGAATTTTCACAGGCTGTATCAGGTGTCACTACCGCCCAGATCAGGAGCAAAACATGATCAGCATCCCAGAAGCCCTTCCTTGGGTCCCCTTCCAGTCACCATTACCCCTAAGTGTAACCAGTGTTCTAACAGCATAGATTAGTCCTGCCTGTTTCTGCATTTTATATACGTGGAATGATAAACTTCATTTTTGTGTCTTGCATCTTTTGCTCACCATCATATGAGACTAACCTGAGTGTGTGCAGTTGTGCATAATCCATTTTCATTGTTGCATCGGGTTCTGGTGTGAATGCACCACAATTTATTTCCCCATTTTCCTGATGATAGGCATAATTTCCAGTTTGGGGCCTTGATGAATAGTGCTGTTATGAATGTCTTTGTTCATATTCTTTGTTGGATATATGTACAGGTGATTTAGTTTTCATTTTGATATTTATGATGTATAGATACAACAAAAATGCTTTTCTAATGAGAATAAAGCTAAAATTTCTATAATGAGTATGTGTTTATAATCTGAAAATTTTTTAAAGAAAAGGAAAATTAAACTTAATTTTCAAGGTTAGAATAAAGCCATTCACATATATTGCTTTTTTTTTTTTTTTAAGCAAAAGGGGGGAATTTAATATAAGCCGTCAAAGATGTCTCATGGAACTGAAGGTCAGGGGGCAGCCAGGCTTCAAGAAGAACCAGAACCAGGGTTTTGGAAGCCATTGAGCCATGCAAGCAGCTCTCCTCTCAGGGCCTTTCTTACAGCACCTTTATGCATGTCTGCTTTATTCTTGTTGTCCCTCTTGGCAGACCTGCTTCCTCTCCTCTTAGCACAAGGCCACAGCATTGCTTCTTCATCTCAGGTTGGGCGACTAGAGGAAATGGGTGGGAATCCCTGAATCCCAATAGCATGATCATGAGAGGGCGAACCTGAATGGCCCAGTCAAGAGTCAATCAGTTATAGCTGAAGGGGCAGCATCCTGTATAATCGTGATTGCCCTCTCGGTGGGCTCCACGGCCCCCAAATAAAGTAGTATTGGCTGAGCAGTCATCCCCAAGAGCATTTACTTCAGTGGAGCTCTGAGTTGGAAACAAGACCTGTGCACTAGTCCTGGTGTGTTGCCTCAAGAAATCCCTTACCTCTCTGGGCCTTTGTCCTCCTGTTTGCATGTATTCACCCAGTGCTTTCTACAGGCCTTTATGTTGGTTTTTGTTTGCTTTTCTGTGGGCATTTTCAGAAGCTTCTAAGAATACTTAGATGTGGGAAAGATAACATGTCAACGAGAGAGAATCCTGAAACAAATGAGACAAATCTTTGAGCTATGAGATTCGAAAAAGACATACCCTTTTGACCTAAAACCAAATTCTTGGGTTTGGGCTGCAAAGACAGGACTCCAAGCTAGAATCAAATGTTACTCTCTCCAGAGACTCAGTGACAATTCCCAAGTTCTTATGTGAAACTTTTCCTTCTGGATGGAGCCCTTGCACACTATGGCCCAGCAGCACCTGTCTCTCAGTGTTCTGAGACATGTATTTTGATGGGTTCCAAATAGAACAGGATCGAGGTAACTTTCTGTTTTTATCAATTAATTCTTATGGTTGCCATTGAAAACATTACAGAAATAAAGTAACCATATGGGAAACAGTGCAGGATATGCATGAACTCTGTGTAATATTCTTGCAACTTTTCCGTAAATCTGAAACAAAGTATTTACATAAAAATGAAACAATAGAGCATTTGCAATCTTGCTTCCTGACATGTAATCAGTTTGGCTTAAATAAATTTATAAAAAAGAAACAAAATAACCAAATGCCTAAGCCTAGAGGTGAAATTGATTACATATGCATTTTCTTCTAAAAAATTTTTTTCGGGGTGATTCCATAGAGTTGTGGTTAGCACGTCTGCTTTACACGCAGAAGGTCCTGGGTTTGAGCCCCAGCGGAGTCACGGCCCATACCCAGGGTGTACCCCAGCCCCTAGGCGTGCCAGGCCCCCCGGTGTGCACCATGAGCGTGTGGGAGGAAACTCCTTGCCTTCTGAGATCCAGTTCTTAAGGGGAGACAGC